TTTATTCAACCTCAAATACTATGTAACTATGTAAATGTATCAACAAGTGAAAGGAAACGTTTTCATCAGTTTCTTTCATTAGGATCACTTCAACCAATGCATCAAGGTGTGTAAAACGTGTGTAAGTTAGTATTGCTCTAGCAAGTTTGTTATTCCAGATATTTTGTTATTACTGCCCATTGTAAAAACACGCAGCACATTATTTACCAGAAAAAGAAGCGGATTTTTGACTGATTGAACATTAAACATTTTGCTGTACTGTAGCGTCAATGTGCAGCTGTTATTTTATTAAAATACTTATTCTTATTAGACAAGTTTTAAATCACACGAGCCGCTTTTCAAATGTGGCAATCTATTATTTTCAGTTATAACCCAACACTTCAAAATATGTTTTACAGTCTTGTGGTCTTCAATTAAAAAAATACAAAACATCTAATGCAAAGGATTTAATTTCTGTCCATTCAGCCCCAAGCTTTACACAGCTATGCCACACTGCACAACCCTGCCTAGCAGAGGACCTGATCTTTCTCTGCTTCAGTTTTACTTTCACTTACGGGTCTCCTCCCTAGCCCCACCGTGCGACTAGACAGTGAAAGGAGTCTTTCATCTCTCTATACTCCTTGTGCTGCTTCCCCTCCCCTTATCTGAGCTCTGCTGTCCAGGAACTGCAAGAGGATGACACCAAGTCAGCTACTTGAGCTTATTGCATTAACAAAAAATATTTGATGCTGTATTAATGAATACAGAAATGCATTAATCTGTGTCTTTTATATCTGCCAGGAGTGCAGCATTAATATGTCCACTTTGTCCCAAAGTGTGGCCACTCATCCTCACAGCTGAACATATTTAGATCAGGAAAACAGCTCTGTTCCCCTGAAGTAATAGACGCTATTCCAGTTCTTCTCTATGGAAGCTGGCAGCATGAGCGAGGGAGTCTCCACGGGCACATCATTTGAGGGGTGTCATGTAATCGACGGCAGACTACTAATGCTCACAATACAAGGTGAGCATTAGATCGACACGGGGATCTTTACACACATACACACACACACAATAGTTTGGATTATTGGTAATAATTGTAGACATTTAAAAAGCTTCCACTTTTATAACGGCATCGCTTTTTAATTTAAGAGGAATTCTTATTTTTTTAAGGTAACATATTTTCCAGGCATGGTGTTATCACGTGGTTATACAGTCTGATGAGCATGATGTGCTAGCATTCTGGAAATGACAGTTTTTCCAGCAGCTGGATCCCCATTCCTGTAATACAATAAACTTCACAGTCCAAGTACAAAATACAATAAGATGGGCTCGGGCAGAACTTGGGAATGTTGGTCTGTAACCAATAGTTATTCTGTACACAATGAAGCTGAGTTCTGGCTGAAAGACTTTCCCTGTTTCCGGGTTAGTTGTTTTCTCCGGTAACAAACAGATGCACGCTCTTCTTTGACTGTAACATCTGCGCTGCTCTCTCTGCTCCCACAACGGCAGCCAGTCTCTGAGCATCGTACTTAGAATACAGAACTGTACAAGTCCACGTGGCTTCTTCACCCTGCTTCCAGGCCTTCATCATGTTACACACCTCGCTGTAGAAGTGCGGGTAGGTGGGAAGTTCATAAAATATTAGGTTCCTGGTGCCCTTCAATGTGTATCTGAAAGCAAAATAATGTTTCTTATATTAGTATTCTCATCTTCCCAGCAGTATAGTATCACATAAAACTGAACTGAACAAGAACCAACGACATGTGGACAATAGAACAGACTGACAATTTGATCTACTTTGTGTATTGGTTTAAGCACCCTATCCCATGGTCATGTGACTGAGAACCCTCCCAAAACTTAATTCGATTACAGAACATTCTTTTAAAACTATTACTATTTTTTTGATCAGTGGTCCCCAAATTGCGACCTGTTGGTCAGATGCAGCCCTTTGCTTGCCTTCACATGGCCATTGAAGGCACTATTACTTCCACTATCAACAATGGGGCACTATTCCTTCCAGTGACACCAACGATGGAGCACTATTCATCCCACTGACACACTCCTACTCACACTATTGATTGGACACCTTCCACAGATACTCAGAGTATGCTTAATCACATCACTAATTTTCCAATTGACACCAATGATGGGGCACCTGTTCCTCCTATTGAAACCAATGATGGGGCACTTGCCTGCTATTAAAACTAACAAAGAGCACTATTCATCCCACTGACACCAACAATCGGGCTCTATTATTTTCACTAACAGCAATGAAAGAGCACTGCTCCTTCCACTAACACTAATGATGTCCCACTGACACCAATGATTAGACATACTCCTACTCACACTATTGATGGGACACCATTCCTCCCACGGACGCCTTCCACGGATACTCAGAGTATGCTTAATCACATCACTATTTCTCCAATTGACACCAATAATGGGGCACCTATTCCTTTTATTAAAACCAATGATGGGGCATTATTCCTGCTATTAAAACTAACGAAGGGCACTATTCCTCTTACTGACACCACTGATGAGACATCATTCCTGCCACGGATAGTCAATGGCAGTATGCCTAATCACATCACTATTTCTCCAATGGACACCAATGAGGGGCACCTACCCTTCCTTTGACACCAATGATAGGGCACTTATTCCTCTCATTGAAACCAAAAATGGGGCATGATTCCTTCCATTTAGACCTACAATGGGGCATGATTCCTTCCATTTAGACCTACAATGGGGCACGATTCCTCCCACTGGCACCAATGATGGAGCACTATTCCTCCAACTGGTACAAATGACGGGGCACAATTTATCTCACTGACACCAATAATGGGGCACTATTTCTTCCACTGTGACCAGTGATGGAGCATTTATCCTTCTATCACTAACCACAGACAGGTCATTTTTTATTCTCCCTGCTTACCCACCCTGGGGTGATTTTACTACCACAGACCTCCAAGCCTGGGGCATTGCTTACTTCCACTTGTGTCAGGGCATTTTCTTACTCCCTCTTATCTCACTCTGGTCCCCCTAAGGTCTAAAGGACAGTAATCTAGCCTTTTGTTTAGAAAGTTTGAGTACTTTTTTTTCCCCCTTTATATAAAGACCATTCACATTCCACCATACAGAATCTAGATTTTTGTGAAACACAACAGCACCATTTATTAAGCTGGTTTGGATAACTTGCACTTAAAAATAAAAGTAGACCAAGAGAAATGTGTGCCGACATTGTTGACCTCTCCTGAAAATGCTAGCTTCTTGTTATCATGATGGTCACATGACTTCAACACTTCAGTCAACAACTGAGAACTTTGAATGTACAAATTAGTTGTTCTTATTTTACTTGCTGCATACTTGTTCCAGACCATATTCAGCCAGGCAATGTCATTTTTAAGATCGGGTCGGAAGTTACATCTTAAGTATATCTCCGAGTATAAGCTTCAATCCAGGACCTATAGCGGCAACTCTGCCCCAGAAATTACAAGATAATCCCTCCCTCCCTATTCGTATTTTATAACACAATGGTTGTAAGAGGGAACACCCAAACTCAATGTATGCAGGAGCAAAGCACTACAGTAAGATCTTACCAGCCACGAATAATAGGAAGCCAATGTGTGAATGACCTATAAAAAAGGTATTAACCTCACTTTTAGGTGGTCTGGCCCTTCACCTGTGCAGCCATCAAAAATCAGTTTTCATTTTACAAACCCCAAGTAGGATGTTCTCTTATAGGTCTGAGATGGAATGTTTATATTTACAAGTTGGTTTAATACTGAGGATTATTTTGAGATGATGCATACGGTCTAGTTATATGCAAACATTATGATAAACAATATATTTCAATTTGATATTGCCAAAAACACTAGAATAGGATTTTTTTTTTGCCATAGGATCAGTCTACCCAAAATATGTTATTTCATGTTTTTGGTCGATGCTCGGGAGTTAAATTACTAAACAGCACCTTATATTTCTCAGGACTCGTGTGATAAGAGCTCCATGACCAAGCTCCCAGGTCTGCATGCCAACCAAGACTAATACAAATGGGTCCTTCTCTCCCTATTGAAAAGGAGGAAAGGAACACCCAAAATTTTAAAAAAAACAGGTGGGAACTAAATCAGGAACTACAACAGGTAAGATTTCACCAATGGAATCCTTGAAGAAGCCAGCCCCCTAAACCACACCTATTAACAGGATTATTTCTAGGCAAAGTGACCTTTTAAAAGGATATATAAAAGCTTATCACAGAGCATAAGCAAATACTCAGATGACATCTACCCAAAACTTTCAGGTTAATTAACAAGTTAAATGCTCTCACCTCTTATAGAAGTGGAATCTTTCGGTGACGAGGAGGAACTGTCTTTCTCCTTTCAGAAAGTGCTGCCGTGCTCTAGAAACCCCAGGTTTATCAGTATATTCACAGATATGAGCGAAGCTGAGTTCTTCCTTGTTAAAGTAATTACGAAGACGCACGTAGTCAAAGTAGGATGGAACATAGATCAGTGTATGCGACATGATGGCATCTCGGTACTGCGGCAGGATCTTGTCAGTGAAGAAATTAAATCTGTAGCAATAATAGAGTTATGTTACCAGTAAGAAACAGAGGACATACAATTATTTACTGGGAAGTAAGTGGCTTCCCAGGCAATCAAAAAGTCGGCTCCGTGCTAGCGGAAGTACCATATCGGTACTCGGCGAGTACCGAAAGATAAGTATCAGTACTCAATATTGATGCATCCCTAATAAATATTATGCACGCACACAATTATAGATTGCCTAGGAGCAGTAACCAATAGTGTTTTTTTTCCTGGCCAGAGTTCAGCTTTAACTTAGAAATTATTGTGTATATATAAATGGTAAAATCTTATGGAAATTAACATCCACAGTCACATTTAAATGTTGCATGCCACATCTAAGTGCCTTCTATGACCCTTACCTTGCATCTATCACAGAAAGCAAGCTGTCGGCCCCCAATCGTTGAAACACATGCGGCAGCTGGACCAACACTTGACATATAGAACCTGCCTGAGGGATGTTTTTCACAGCCACCTATATTGAAATAAAGTCAGCACAGAAATAAGATTTCATTTACAGCGATTATAAACCTTGCTATTTCTTAACGGCTTTCCCATAAGTAGTGAAAATATCAATCTGCTTCTTACCTATTAATGTAAAAGTAGAACTCCAGACAAACCACTAAACAAATGGTGCAAACAGAACGCATTAAGCTGGTTTCCCTGCCAAAGGTTTTGGAATTTTGGCCAATCATTCTTGTGCTGCTCCCCTCTGCTAAACCATTGGATTCCTCTGCTATTCCTTGGTGTATTACCGTGTTTTCCCGAAAATAAGACACTGTCTTATATTTTTTTTGCCCCCAAAAACCACACTAGGTCTTATTTTTAGGGGATGTGCAACAAAATGTACAACAATCTAAAGTTATTCATGTACAACAATCCAAAGTTATCTGGTATCACTCCGCCTGTCACAGTAACTGGCGCTATAGAGGAATATCGGCTAATGTGACTCTGCTCCCTCTGCCGATGCAGCCTTGCTTTCTACAGCGCTGGCTTCCTTTTCCATCAGGGACAAGCGGTATCAGTGGTGCAGCAGTGGGAACATCATACAGTGGACAGCGTGGTAAAGTATGGTACCATTTACCGGTACACATTACAGTACAGTACCAGTACATTAAGCAGTGCCTTCAGGGGGACAGCAGTTGGTGAAGTATGGTACTGGAGTGCTCCCTGTCACTGCGCTGTCTGGAGGGAGTCCCCCGTCATCCCCTTAATACAGTATGTCCCTGCAGGCTGATACCATCTCTCCTGCAAGTTCCCCCTCACATGCTACCACCAAACTAGGTCTTATTTTCGGGGTAAGTCTTATATTACAAGAATCTTGAAAAATAGTGCTAAGTCTTATTTTCGGGGAAACAGGGTATTACTGCTCCCTAGGTCAGTTCCCTGGTCACAGCTGGTGATGCTGATCCACTGTCCAATGAGAAGGAAAGAAGTAGAGAGGTGACATAGGAAAGTGAACTGCTTTATCGGGAACTATGTGCATCACCGGTCTGTGAGTGGAAAATGTGTAAATCACAAGGCTTGCTGAATGAAGCTACAAATGTGTTTTGATAGACAAAGGGTGTGCGCATGTATCAGTTTGCCTGGAGTTCTCCTTTATAAAAGGGGTATCCCTTTACTAGTAGCAACCTGTATCTTTTCTAAAAAAATCCAGTCAGTTGCTCCCTACAATACAAAAGCTAAATACCTTCTTCTTTCGTGGATGGTGTGGGAAATCTTTGCCGTCTTCTTCATCTTTGCATGCCACCACTATACTACACTAGGCACCACAGTTCCTCCCTGCAATCGCTGGGTCCTGCAGTAAAGTAGCATTTAGCAGGAGAACCCGTGGCACCCAGCTAATGACATATGAAAATGTTACTCATTTTCTTCATCTTCTTCTTCTTAGACACTTGATTAAATCTCTGCTGCCACATAGTGGACTGGCTCTAGATTCCAATGCCCGTCATCCTTTCCGGTACCTTACCTGGTCCTTCCACACAGCATTCAAAGCATCACATAAATATACGGGTTTATTCATGGGCAGAAGGCCCGTTACATCCAAGCATCAAAGACAACAATAACGCATTTTGCCCACTGGGTGCTTACCCATAAGGTCTTATACAGGACTACTATGCATGATGAGGAACCACAGAGTGTTGTATCCACACGTGACTAAAACTCTTTATGTAACAAGTAGGCCTTTGGGTTTTAATAGGATGAATTCTGCTTTGGTATTTCCAAAAGGCTCTGCCTGGGCTGTGTGTGTAAGTTACATCAACTAAACCGATGGCATGATATTTTTAGATGTGCAGGTTTCCAAAAACGACCTCAAAACTGGCATCACAGAACATGGGATGAGCTCAACTAAACGCTTTCAGGGGAAGCCTTCATTCTTCACCTCATTTCTCTGTGATTTTCCTTCTGTACACATACTTTCTGACACTCCTAAAAGGTATGTACTGTATAATAATCATGTTATGGCAATCATAACAATAATCAGCAAGGTATCATGAGCAACATTTTTCTCACAAAAGGTGCATTAGCCCTTGAAATATATTTTGCAACACTTGAATCTGATATTGCAACTTGTTTTACAAAACACAGTAACACTGTATAAGTATTCTAAAAGTCTCTATAGCAAAAAGTTAGAAGTAGAGGAATTTCAATTTAAACTGGATATTTTTTTTTAAACGTATGTATTATGGAAGCAATGTAATTACATTAGAGCCAAATAATGAACATACTTAGGTACCAGCCTTATCCATTTCACAATTTTTGAATGCTATGGGTAATAATAAAGTGTAAATGCAAGGATATGAAGTATCTCTTAGCAAGCAGTCAAAAGAGGCCATTAGACTGGTAACACTAAACTGTTTAAAAACAAAAACCCAGCAAGTTGGTATGGATTATACCATACTGCATAACTTAGTACAGTTTCTCAAAAACACAGTTTTTGTGTTGTTGGATCTATTTTCTACAAGGCTTCAATGGCTTCTGGTGAACTTACCTGCCCACTGTAATTGAAGCAGTGCTTATTAAATATAGAGTTTATCTGGGGCTCCTGCAGAGAGCTAAACAGCAGTGTCTGCCGATAGTATTTGGACCAGTTACTGAGGCTCCACATTCGAACGCGGGAGAAGTCCACCCCATGAGAGTCTGTTGGTTGGAGGTTGAGGTGAGACATCATGTGCTGGAAAAAAAGCCAAATAAATCAACGTTATTAAATACTACACATTCAGCGTCTGAAACTAGTAACTGATTTTTATCAAAGCAAGACTCTTAGAATACTTAATACAATGTACATAAATCTAAACATTATAAAAACAGCAAAATATGAAACTATGCTTGTATTACATTGTATTAGACAGTGGAGGCTCCATTTTCTAGCTAAGGGAAACGGGTCAAGGGAAATATGCAGGCTGCTAATACTTACATCTTCTTCTAAAAATGTTAGCTGCCTGGTTGTCATGCTGCGGAGTTTTTACTCTTCTCAAACTTTCCCGATTTCCCAACTTATGCTTTGTCAGTGAGTGAACACGTTGAAGCCCGGCAGCTAGTATTTCAAGGCAGCTCCCTTATAGCCCTCATGGTGGGTTTACCTTAAAGGCTTTATAATGTATTTCACATGCACAGGTTAGTGTGCTACATTTAAACCCTCATCGGAGAATGAGGGACTTGCCGGCATGTGCTGCCGCCAAGTCCCTCAGAGTCTGTAAGAATGTCACTAACCATGATCAGGTGGCACGTATAAAAATGTTGTGATGTTAATATATCACCAAGTAAAGATTGAGAACCACTGAATTAAAGAGAAAGTATAATGGCTTTTGGTCAATTTTGTCTTACAGTTTACAAAATGTATAAACTGATATTACATGTCCTTTTAGATTTGAATATAATCTTTAAACCAGACTGAATATATGGTGTGTTTCCATGATAATGGGTTTGTAAAGAAAACTGGGCTTTCTAACATCTACAGTTGTACCTGCAGACTTGGAAACAGCTTGTGTGGAGACAGATCGTCTGACAGTGGTGTGTCTCTGCAGTGAGACTCAGGATCAAGTGTATGTTATTTGACCTTCCTTTTATTTAGGAAAGTGCTACTATAAAGGAATCCAATTAAATTCCCAAATAAAACCTAAAAACATATGTATTAAAATCGGTTTCCAAACAAAATCCCTTTCTCCTCCTCCCAGAAATATTTTAATATTTTGGGGTAGACTTTGTCACTTCTCAACATTTTCTAGCCATACAAACCAGCAGTTGGTAGTGAAGCATACACAGACATGAGAGAATAGTTTGATGTGAAGATCCATTCTTTGGTGCTGTGTTGTCTACACCAATTTTGAACACCTACCAAGACATGTTCCCAGTTCTGCATCAGGTAAATATCTGCTTGATCAATGATGAGAATCTCTATAGAAGACAGGAAATCAAAATCCCGTTTTTTCTCTCCCTCACTACCGATGATGGTACGGACACCAAGAGGGGAAGCAATAATGATGTCCGAGGAGTAGAACGGAGAGTAAAGTCTCATGCTCTTCTGCAGAATGGCCACTCCTGTCAACCAAAGATGAAGCAATGTCAACACATCTTCACTGATCTGCTTTAAACTCAAAACACTGATCAAACACTGATAAGCAGATAAAAGAAATAGTGCATTATACTGAGCTACAAATACAAGACAGTGAAATAGCTGCTAACCCTTCACTGCAATAGTCTGTAATAGAATTATTTTGCCCCTTAAAAAGGAACAGAAAAAAAGATGTGGATATTTATTATGAAGAAATATTGAAATTATTTTTGGATATAATAGGAAACAGTTGAAGCTAAACTCTTGGCAGAATCAAATTAATGTAGTTCCCTAATCATTGATTTGCAATTAAATGTATATTTAAAATGCATGTAGTGTAAGTATCTGAATGTATCTTAGTATTCTGCAGTCCCTTCACAGCTTCCTTGGGCTGCCTCTCCCTCACCCAATATGTTCATATGCTGGCAAAACAAATGCTAATAGGAGGAGAGAGTAGAGATGAGCTCATTGTTGTGCTGCTTCTCATTCACCATCCAGTCACAGACTGGAGGTGGGTCCATGACAGCCTGAGCTCAGAGGAAGCAGGTTAAAAGGAGAAGTATTGGGAGAGTAAAATGTACTTTTCCCAATACTTAGAGCCGGTGAGTGACAATGCAGGTGTCACGTGCAGGCTCTATAGATCGAGAGCTGAGTGATCACGAACCATTGCTCAGCACACAGACTTTTCCCTTCAGAGAAAAGTGACCGTCAATCACTGCTCCCCGCCGGAAATTCCCTCATCCCCTCTTTGCTCCTCCAGAGATCATTGAAGGGACAGATGGGAGGGGGTGGGAACAGCCGGCTCTAGCTCTAGAGGGGTCAGAGCCAGCTGTCAATCAGGTAGTGTGGTAGACCCCGACAATATTGTGGGGATGTTTCCCAACTGCAGTGCGGCTCTGCGCCATCAGCAAACAGCAGGCTGTAGCCCCCTAGATGCTGATTTTAGGTCACAGAAGTACATTAGTCGATGTCTTCCTTTCACCCAAATGGGGACTAAAGCTACAAAAAGGTTTTTAAATCATGCTGTCCTTTTTACAACCTTAAAGACATCTAGGTTGCAGAAAATAAGTACTCCAGAAGCATCTTCGAATTGCTTATCGCACCAAAAGCTGCTTTTTATTTTATCTTGTGATGGGTTGTTTTCATTATTATTTTTGACTGTAGTTCTACTGTAAGGAATACATAACTGGCCAACATTGTGTTCTATTTTTCATATCGGAATCGAATTTAATTTTATTAGCAGGCACCTAAGTCAGGGCTGGAGTGTGAGCGAAAGTACCAGCACAAGGAGCCAATCATTTCATGTGTGACAAGAAGTATTCTGATAGAAAAAGAAAGCAGAGTGACAGAGAGATGAGCTCATCACTGTGCTGCTTCTCCTTCTCTATCCTGTTCAAGGCTGGGGTGAGTTCTGAATGACCCGGGCTCAGAGTATTTTCACGCCTTGCATTCAAAAATAAAAATACATGTAAATGATTGGTTAATGAATCAAGAGCTGTATGTATGTGTAGTTTATATCTGCCGAGAGTTCAATCTTAAATAAGCAAATATATAAAAAATGCACGATTACCTACATCCATCTTTGTACTGGCATTCTCTAACTCTTGTTTACTAAGGTTTACTATAAGGGTTTCTATATAAAAATAATAGCTTGTTGCCTTTAGTTTACAGGATGCATATGTCTTCAGCAGTCATACAGAAGTCAAAGGGTCTATGTCAGGGGTGGCCAAACTCCGTCCCTACAGATATTGTTGAACTACAAATCCCATTAGGCATTGCAAGATTCTCACAGCCACAACTCCCAGAGACAGATGCATGGTGGGAGTAGTAATTTCACCACAGCTGGAGGGCTGGACTTTGCCCCCCCTTGGTCTATGTGGTGGTAGGCACAGTATGGCTGCTGTTGACTCCCAATCATCATAATAGAGCTCCCATAAACAACAAGGAAGAGTAACTGACTGCAGGCTTGCAGCCATCCTATTCTTACCCATCCTGAAATGATCATCGATATTCCCAGCAAACACTGCTTCATAATCCTCCGGCCGCTTCAGGTTCGGAGGCCGGTCTTCAGGTTCACAGCCAAACTCATCTTTGAACCTCTTCTTGTTGCTAACATCGACCTTCCTACCAGGGGCTTCCATGAGGCTGATTAGAATCTGGACCACTCGCAGGGCAGACTCACGAAATGGAACAACAATAAGGACCTGAGGAGATCAGAGAACTTTATATTACATGTACAGATGTGGGGGCTGGACACCACAGAATCATGTGACAAGATGTTACAGTTCCACCAGAAGCCTTATGTGGGAAATGCACTGTTAAATGTACATCAGAATGTACATTTTAAGCTTAGAGATTAGTTAGGGGGCTATCAGTGTATGACTGATAGTCCCCTATGTGATGGCCACCACTAAAGATGATCAAGCAAAGCAGCCAGGGAATGACAGCACTGTACCTGGAAGTGACGACATGCTTATCACTTTCAGGGTCATTCAAATGAGGAGAGATCAGTAAACAGATGTTTGCTGGTCTTTTTCTCCACTCCGCCTGCCATCCCTGTCCTGGGTCCACAGCAGGGGCAGTGGAGCCCAGGATACATGGCAGGCATGTGGGGGGAGCAGTCGGGCGGCACTTCAGCGGATTACATGCATCTAAAAGCTGACAGTCTGCTTGTAAAAATCCAACACTCCAGACTGTAGCCTGGAGCGCATTTAAAATCCCCTGCTACTAGCCACCATTTAGATATACTTTAACCATTTATTTTTACATGTTGCCTGAAATTGCCTTGTCAGGTTTCACTTTAGAATCACCAAAAAGAAAGCAATAAAGACACCAATTGTATTTTTACCTGGAATTACTAGGATACATAAGATTTGTCTGCAAGAAGAACTGTCTGTTTAACAACCAATCAACTTTGCTTTCCAGAAAGGTAAAGATGCAATAAAAATTACATGGATATGATTGGATGCTACTGCTGCTGCCCCAGGCAGCAATTCTTAGTGTTTCAATAAGTGGAGAGCACCAAGAAATTGGAATACCTTAGGTCGAGTCAGGCCCTGGTCTCGGAGGTCCTCTTCATCATGTGCGCTCTTCTGATCTCTCTTTTTAGCGTTGTTGCCGAGGACCTGGGAGTTTGCTTTTAGCACATGATTCAGGGCATGGAGACAGTACACATGCCTAATCTCTTCTCCTTGGGCTGTAGCCGGCCTGGATGGGTAATACAAATCCTTGTAGGAATTCAGAACTGTAAAAAGTTCTCTTTGTAAGGAAGTGAAGTTCTTTTCAGTCTGGTTTGTTAAATACAAACGGTTCACTTTAGGCCAGGTGGAATCCAAAGGCTTACGTAGATGAAGCTTATCAAGGTCATTTTCCTTGACTAGTTTTAAAGGAGGAGCTTTCTTGTATGTAGATGTGAATGTGAACTGCCCCAAGGTTGACCACTAAAATAGAGAAAATGAAAAGACTTCATTATTGGTACTCCGTTTGCATCAAACACTGATTAACCTCTTGCCATCCGCCCGTTAAGAAAAAACAGACGGACGGCTGACTCCTATCTGCGGGTTGCCGTCGTCAGACGGCATTTTTTTCCTGCACGGGCAGGAAAGACCCGCTTGTTACTTCAGCCGTTAACGGCTGTTTCACATACAATGGCGTGAATTTTGGAGGCTGAACTGAAATGTGCTTTATATGTTTCTTTGAACCTATGAGAGCCTATCAAACCATGTAAAAATGCAAATATAAACACAGGCAAATGTGTTTAACTGTATCCAGAAATGTAGGAGTAAGCATCAAACACAACTGCGCTAAAGGCAAAATTATATGTTTTTGATTACTTCTACATAAATGTTTGTTTGCTTGTACACCTGTATAGAAAAGCTCCTTAAAATGGCCTCATGCATAGGGAATTTTTGTACATATACAGCCCAAACATTTTGTTTTAGATATGAATAGAGTGGGGAAGGATTACAACCCCTGTCAGGGTTAACTGCAGTCCAGGGTTCCCTTAGGCCCCTTTCACACGGGCGGTCTGATTGGGTCTGCATGTCAGTTTTTCAGGCAGACCGGATCAAATGCCCAATGTAAGTCTATGGGCAGCCATGTGTAAGTGGCTAGGTGTCCGTTTACATCCGGTAACCCCGACTTCCGCCATGTCCGGAAAAACAAACGGAACAGTGTTCCGTTTCAACAGACCCGAGTGTGCTAGATTGGAGGTAATCTGATGTAAATGAACACATATCTGTTTACATACGACTCCCCATGGACCAACATGGGATCTGGTCATTTCAGTTTTTTCCTCCATCGCAACATGGAGGAAAAAAATGGACGGACACGGACGTCACAACAGTGACATGCGATAGGTACCGCTGGAGGGGATCTGTGCATGGATCCCCTCTTGATCAGCCCGTGTGAAAGTGGCCTTTAATAGATTTCCTCTTACTCTCTGCTTCATGGACAACCTTGTCAGTAAGGAGGTAGTGAAGGAAACTCTTCAATAGCAACACAGATATGTTTGTTAATTAGGGGGAAGGCTAAAACAACTGTCAGATTCTATTTTGCCCTGTTTCCCCTGTTGCAGATTTTCCCTATCTTCCTATTTAGTAAAAGGTTCTCCCCACAACAGAAATTAATATAAAATAAATAAATATAAATAAATATAACATTAACAGAGCCCCATATAGTATAAAAATCCTGACAGGGCTCGTAAACCTTCCGCACACTATCCAAAATTAGAAAGAAAGTAGAAGGGTCGAGCTATTAACTGATGACTCCTATTCCTCAAATAATCCAGAATGGTTTACATGAGCTCACCGTCCTGGAGGATGAAGTAGAAAGCTCGAGCTATTACCGGATAACACCTTTTCCTCAAATCCTCCAGAACGGTGAGCTGGTGTAAGCCTGGAGGATGAACTGGTTAAAAAAAAAAGTTTTGGCTATAGATACACTTTAAAATAGAAGTGACATTAATAGTTATGAATGTTACTACTGGTTGGTCATTCACAAAGTCAGTTGAAGTATTTGTATATACAGGCTTTTGAAATCAGGGTAAATTCAGGCTAAGGTCAGACTGCAACATAAGATCCAATTCAAATTCAAACACTGCATTTATTATCCTTCATAATGCTTCATAGACTTTGCCAGAAGCCACACACAAATGCCCATATACACTAGAACTAAAACGTCTTTATGTTTTAGGCCCAGCAGTCCGTTAATGAAGGTTGCACTTTGTTCTGTGGATGTAAACAAGGAACTAAAAAAAAGGTGCGGCAAGGACTGTACTTTACCTTGAAAGACAATGATGTTTTAGAGCTGGTTGAAATCTGAGTGATGTCATCCTCCTCCAGCTCCCGATCAATATGCTTTATAAAAGGATCTTGGAAGAGAAATAAAATTGTCTTTTCAGCTGTGGGTTTCTGTGTCACTCACTGATAAAAAGTTGAATGATCCTGGCATAAAACTGAGAACTACAAAGTGGGCTGACAGAGAACCTGAAGGAAAGAAAGTGGGGGCGCTTCCCAAATCAATTAGTCATATTCCATCTGTCAATTCTCTGTGCAGGTGAAAGTCAAAGTCTGACTGGTTGCTATGGCCAACTTTTTAATAAGCAGAATTAACCCCTTACTGTATCAGTGTCATTTTACAGATAGAGGGATTTTGAACTAAGTGCCCCCACATGTGCATCTGTATGGACTTTACCCTGTACTTGAAGTTATTTTATCGTAAACATGATAAATGATCTAAACAGCTGCCTTCATGTATCAATGAATGTTAACAAGCCCAGTGCCATACTGCCAAGGATCCCTAAACTAGGGTGCACTGAGTAGAAACACAAGCCCTCTCTCAGCTGCTTGAGATGAATGCCCCCCCCTCCCCCTCCTCATTGTGGGTGTTTTATTATTCGCTATGGTGCCTCAATGTTCAACGGTGAAATTCTACAGGTGAAACTCGAATAATTAGAATATCGTGCAAAGTTCATTTCTTTCACTAATGCAACTTAAAAGGGGAAACTAATATATGAGATAGACTCATTACATGCAAAGCAAGATAATTCAAGCCGTGATTTGTCATAATTGTGATGATTATGGCTTATAGCTCATGAAAACCCCAAGAACCCCAAATCCACAACCTCAAAAATGCAGATTATTACATACAAATCAATAAAACAAGGATTGTACATAGAACAATATCGGACCTCTGAAAAGTACAAGCGTGCATATGTACTCAGTACTTGGTTTGGGCCCCTTTTGCAGCACTTACTGCAATTACTTTTGCACGATATTCTAATTATTCGAGTTTCACCTGTACATTTGACAGCAAGATGGCCAAGTGAAGACTTCTATGTGCTACGTATGGCTGAATGCAGGGGTCTCAGGATCCAGACAAGTGGATTTATGGACAATTAGGTGCATACAAGCACTGTATAGTGTTCTGCTAACTTAGCTAAAAACACGTCTGCATGAGGGATGCAAGATACAAGTATACCTGAAGAGGTAACAGCTGACGGCGACGGAGGTCTGTCCTTGAGATCTTCCATGTCATGGTCTATAAAATTTGTCTCCAAACTAAATGCAGATTCATGTTTGGTATCTGTAAAATCCCCTTCTTCTTGGGGTGGATCTTCCAGTTCTTTGTCACCTTCATTGTCATCTTCCTCTACTGGTTCTGGATAAATAAGGTAAAATATTATATTTTCTGATCAGGAGACAGATAAGCATAAAACGAAATGACAATGTTTACCATGTTGCTTTTAACACATACAAAGTGATGACACAGACGAATGCTCATTCCTACTGGAAGTCATGGAAAAGCGGTGGCCACTGCCAGGTGTATACAGAACTGGTTTGAATTTTATTTCAAATAACAAGATTATAATGTGTGGCATGCACTAGAGCACCAGGATTAGCACTGCAATAGGATGCAAGATATGCAAAACATAAAGGTGACTTATGATATTTTTTAAAGCTCGGTTTCAATTCTGGAGCCTCTGTCAGGCTCTTCATCATTCAAACACTTGCAGGAGTGTTGGATGCCAGTGTCCCCTGATGTGCACCATTGTTCCATGAGCCGACCCCTACGTCACTACAGGACTCCATGAGCCTACCCTTACACAACCACAGAGTGTTGGAGGACAAAAGGTATCTGATACTCCCAGAAGAGTCTTACAGCGGCTTCATTGCTGAAATGGATGGAAGGCAAGAGACTCAGAGTGCCAAAGAGATGGGTGTAAGAGCTCTTCACCTGCAGGGTCCCTTCTGTTAGGATTTTGTGCAAGGCCACTTTAGTGTAAGCCTTGTAGGTTTAAGGAGTTGAAGCTTAAGGTGGGAAAAGAGAAAGCAACTCGTTATTAGTGCCACCCTCCTATGGAAAAGGCCTATACCACATAATGCAGTGTCTCCAATGAACAGTAAGAGACACCTTGTTTCTATGTATAGTTTATGGATGTTTACATATGCAGGGCAGTCACATTTGAGCAATGCATATGAAGGATCTGCATGCTACTTAGTAAGCCTGCTTAGATGGACTAAAAAAAAGCACTAAGTATATCTCAGCAGGAATGCCTAATGCTTGCCTGATAACAGAATATATGAGGTGCATGCACATGAATGCAAATCAAAATTACTTTCAGGTTAAAGTCACAACAACGATGCAGTATTCGTACTCCCAAAAATACACTATAGTTGCCCTTTTAAAATCCCAAGCCCATGTTTTGCCAAAGTGCCTCCCCTGCCTGTGAAACAAAATCACTTACTTTCTCCCTCTGCCTCCTCCCTGGACAATTTCTCTGCTGCGGCTTCATCCTCTTTCCCACTGTCCTCATCCTCTTCTTCAGAGACCTCTGCTTCCTCCTCTGCTCCACTTTGCCCTTCTGTTTCTTCATTACCTTCATCATCATGCTCTTCAACTACTTCATCATCATCATCATCCTCCTCTTCATCATCATCAGAGACATGCTTTAATGTGGCCAGCAGCTGATGGTACACACTGACATTCTCTGGCTCGCTCTCAGCCTCACTCTCATGCGACTCATCCCCTGAGCTATCAAGCTTAACAGATATAAACACACTGTTATCATAAATCATATCAATTACATAAATCATCATCATAAATAAAAAATACTGTTTTCTAATGGCCCAATACTATCACTTTCATGAAGCTCTTTCTTTTGGATACCCCATTATTATGGAATACACACAGCCAGAACATGCAGTTTGTAAATATGGGGCCTGGATGAAGTGACAAAAAAGGTATCAGAATGAACAGGGAATGCACCCATCCCATGAATTATATCTTATGCGCTTCCGGCTTCAACATATGTCTAGCACAGCTGAAGTCAAAATGACCACCTCCATGCTTATTATTGTATTTACCATGCTGAATATCAGAGAATAGACAGGGACTCTCCTATGATAACTAGAACAACAGATACAGTCTTATGGAAGCAATATTAAATTTTCAATGCAGCCGAAAAGCTAGCTAACCCCTTTAACGTTTTCTTGTGACCAGAGCTCTTTGAGATCTAGATAAACAGACCACATTAGGGAGTGCCAGCATGCATTGCTTAACTAAACAATAACTCTATGACTAATTTGTATACCTACATCATTTTTATATAAGGCTTTATCTGAGACAATGTTTTAATAAAAGTCCTGCTAGCCAATTGGATGAACAAGCAACAGAAAACATATCTATGCTTCACTGACTTTGTCAAGGCATTTGATCGAGTGGAGCATGACATCCTTCTAGAAACACTCGAGGGGAGTATGTGGAAAACATGTCAGTCACATAGCTACTATCCATTACAAACAGCAAGGATTTACAAAGATGAATAACCAAACACGACCATGCGATAACAGTAGAAAGAGGTATGCACTAATGATATGTTCCGTCTCCAAGGCTGTTCAATGCTGACACAGACAAAGCTTTTGAAGGTATTTGTGAAAGTGTTGAAATCCCAGTGTATAAATCCAAGATCATACAGAAAATAAGCTATGCAGACAATATGGTTTTGATTGCAGAAGAAGATAGCAAGACTGCAACTGCTAATTTAATATAATAGCAGAAAACGTTAAGGGAGTCTTCATCCAAATACAGTAATCAAAGAATGTGCAAAGACAAAAACTCTTCTGTGTTATCTGAGCTATATCCTAATCCCTTTTCTGCTTTGCAGGTGTTAACTATAGTCCTGGAGATGCCACAACTTCGGTGGGTGCTCCCTCTTCCCCTGGACTTACTGTCATCCTGGTCCTAACAGCTTATGAATCCTTCAGGAGGAGTAGGGGAGGGTGCAGCCCGCTTTACTTGATTTTGTATTATTTATGGTGAACTTTGTAGATTCTCACGGAGGTTGCATAATTGACCTGTATCTATTTTTGCTTCCTTTTAATAGATGTAGTTCTCTTACAGGGTTATTCACTAAAGGGTGAAGAGTTTGGAGAAGGCAGGAGAAGTGAACAATCTAGGACAACATAGATGAACTGGAAAGTGAGCTGAATTTAGGCTATTTTGGCTTCGGCTATTATGGTCTAGATTGTTCACTTCTCCTGCCTTCTCCCTTTTGTGAATAACCCTGTTAGTCTGTATTGAGTCAGCCCAATTATCTGGATAACTTCCTAAAAGCATATGTCTCTCTCTTCCTTATTTGTGTTTCCTGTTACTACAACATAGTTTTGGTTTGCACGATGTGTTTATAAAATGCTGAAAATGTTGCAATTGTAATTCTTCTGAATGTGAAGGCATTGTCCTAGTTTACTTTTTGTAATCCTACATGTGATATTTTTGTTGTTGAACATGATGCTGGCTTATTGTGCAATTTGTTTATTCCATATTCTTTATCTCAATAAACGGAGAATAAAAAGAATTTAAAAAAAAAGACAAAAACCATGGCTGTAATCAGGACACAAAGAAGTAAATCTAATGCTTGGAAATGAAAAGAACAGAGCAAGTTACCAACTTCTAATACCCTGGAATACTGATTAATAAAAACCATCATTCACATTGACATCAGAGCTAGAAAACCCAAGTCATTAAAGTGTCTGGAAACACAAAGAGCTGATGAGGAACAATAAAGAAGTACCAGAGATGGGACACTACCGGCGCGGCGATTGTTCGATTCAGTTCTCTCTTCTTTTCAGCCGCTGCAGCTACAGAGCGGCCGAGAAGGAGATAAGTGAACGATCGCTGCTGCGGTTGTGTCCCATCCCTGGTCCTGCCGGCGGAGCACCCCCTCGATGACATTCAGTTCAGCTGTCTTCCCTTCAGCTGTCTTCTGTAGCTTACTCCGCCCACCTCAGCTGACAGGCTGGGAGGAAGACTGCAGAGACAGTGAGACACCTGGCCAGAAAGTTATGCAAAAGAAAGTTCTATCTCGGTACATGGAGGATCTCTGTACCATCCCCAAACGGCCCCCCCATGACCGGGAGAAAGAAGAGGGCATCTGAATACCATCAGCTAAGTGCATTGTAAGTCCCTTTTCTTTCTTCCTTACACCGCTGACCTCTGCACTGCGTGTCACGCTGACCTCTGCACTGCGCGTTACATTGCTGACCGGTGCGTTACATTACTGACCTCTGTACTGTTTACCTCCTGTACTGTGCGTCACACAGCGGGCCTCTGTATTCGGCATTGCACCACTGACTTCTGTACTGTGCGTTGTTACTGATCTTTGTACTCTGCGTCACACCGCTGACCTGGTGGAGTTAAGGCCGCGGCCAGGTAGGGGTTAGGTGGGGCAACTGGTGGCGAATAATTTTTAAGGCCCGGCTAGTAGCTTAGGACTTGAAATTTTGAGCCCTGGTCATGAGGATGTTTCATTTTTGTTTTATTTTGTGCCTTGATTGACAACGTTGCCAATTTTTAATAGAGTGTTTCCGGTTGCGGTGCTGTGCATACAGTCTTCTTTGATATATTGAATAAAGCAAGCCAATTGGCTCTAAATTATACGATATTGGTTGAATTGTAACTTCTTTATCCAACTTTTTTTCTTAGTGGGTGGTACTTCTTTAATGTAGGCATACAAGTTATCAACCATTAAGGCACTATATAGTTCTGTACCATAGTGGTGTTGTTAATCTATGTTTTCAATTGATGAGGAACAATCTCTCTCTAAGCACAAAGAAATAATTGCTACAAACACAAGTTTGGTCCACTTTCAGATGTGGCACAAAAATGTTTTCCCTTACAATGTCTATTAAAAAAAATTTAAAAAGAGAACACAAAGAGAATTGTGCTGAGGAATGTTAATAAAGGGGCTGCGAAAGGGAAGGGTTAAAGGAAACCTGTGCTGACAGAAATACCCAAACGTTCAATGCTGACCTATCCTTCTGAAGTTGCTAGTAGACTGGCTGCCATGTTTTTAAGCCCCATTATGGATTTTGCCATCGATACCTCTTGTTGTAGAGCATTCCACAGCTTTTCCACTTTTACTGCGACGAAACCCTGCTTATAATGGTATTTTTTTTTAAATCTTCCACAGGCAGGAGTTCTTAGGTTTTTCCATAGGTATTCATTTGCCAGATCTTGGTAGTGAACATGGTTATATTTGTCACTAAGAAGTCTTTTTTCCACCCAAAAAATGCACAACTTGGGTTCTAATTTTTTACTGCAAGTCTCCATTTTCATTCATTTCATTTCCTGCTATTTAACTCTCTCCAGAATGTTCGTTTTACAAAGCAGTACCCAAAACTAGATTCCATATTCTAGAGCTGGCCTTACAAGTAATTCACACAAAGCCCCTCCCATTTTATATATACCAAGATGTTGTTTGGTCTTGCAGCTTCCATTAGGCATTGAGTTGTGCTGCTATGCTTACCGTTAACCAGTATCCCGAAGTTATCCTTAGTTATTAGCAGCCTGACAAATATAAGCCACTTACCAGCTGGACAACCTGAGTCCTCTCTGCTTTCTGTGACACTCTGCAATCAAAATAAGACAACACCAATTCAGTTCATGACAAATATATTACCAGCATTTTCTACATTTTACAAATGTTTAAAGTCTATAAATTGAGTAAGTTTTTTTAAGAGAGTACCTAAACCCAAAAACAATACGTAATATATTTCAGATTAGCAGTCCATAGATGAGGTGCCTGTATCAATTTTCACTTCCTGTGCTGGGGTGGCTACCACTCCAGTGTATCTAGGGAGGCAGCCATGGTTGTCACCCAGGATGTACAAATTACATGTCTGCCTTACACTGTCAATGTCTTTGCTCATCTCTATTACATGGTGGGTGATGGAATTAGTAGTTTACATCATCATTCTGTCATTCAACAGCTCTCTCCTTCATTCACAGAAGCCAATATCTAGCCCTTCCCACCACATTCTGCATCTAACTACAAGTCGGTGGTGGGCCAACAGAGGGGTACAGGAGTGTTTTCTGGACTCCCAGGGGATTCTAGAACATTGCTGCTGGTACTAGTGTAATGGATTGAAAGCTGAACTCCAGCCTTACCTTCAGTCCTGTGCAGTTGTACAGGTTCCTCTCCTGTATTGAAATTGCAAACTTTAATTTCACCACACACTGAGTTTCTGGCTGGAGAACTAGCATCATCTACAGGGCTTGAAAAATTTGATAGTGTCTCACCAGTCAGTCAAAAATGTCACCAGTCAGCATGACCAGACTATAGCCTTGCAATTTATGTTAAAAAAGTTTGGGGACAGATAGAGCTTTCTTTTGGAGGTATATAAACACCACGGGGGGTATTTTTTTAACTATATAATTAAAAAAGTACCATAAATGTTAAAAAAATGTTTATGCTTCTTTATTTTTTTCATGAATCTTTCATTTTGTTATTACTTTTTTTTTTTTTTACATACAACTTTATCGCTATTACATGGGGGGCTAAGAAGCCCCCCATGGGATAGCCAAACGCTCGATCGCTTGACTGTAAAGCTGCTTGTCGGGCTCCACCGTCTGCTCGTCTGTTATGAGTGGATTTTTCGAGCCCTGATCATCTAGCTCTTTACCCCACCCAGCCTAACTGTACCTGGCCCACCCCTCTCATCTACTTCATTTCAGTTCTTTAATTCTTGGAGACTCAGCATCACATGTGGGCGTTACCTAGGGCAGTGTTCCCCAACCCCCGGTCCGGTACCGGTCTGCGGACCAAATGGTACCGGGCCGCACAGTCTCAGTGCGGTCATGCAATATATGGCAGTGCACGGTCCCGGAGGGGTCTACATGCAAATACAGCCTGGCTATGATAGGCTGATCCAGCCCACCACTTGCATAAGGCTCCATTCACATATATTGTTTTTGTTTCCTTGCGGAAGACCGCGTGGGATGCAAACGCTATATGTGAAACAACTGCACCGATTCCGCTCATTTGCGGCCATTATATAGCCGAGAACGTGCGGAATCCGCCGGATTATCGCACCTACACTGATTTTGGGGACAGGGCAATCTCCGCAATAGTGTGAACAATGCACATTGAAGTGCATTGTTTTTTCTGTTTGGAGCAGCTCCGCGCATATCCATACAGACGAATACACGCGGACAACCTCTCCAGTGTGAATGGAGCCTTAGAAGTGAGGACTCTTGAGATTAGTGCAGGGTGCTGTCATGTTTTCAGGAAGCTATGTACAGCACCCGGCCAGCCCCTCCCATCAGCCATGATCTGCCTGCACTGCATATAGAAGCACAGATACATAGATAACTTTACCAAGTCTGAAATACTGTAATAAAAAAAAAGGATTTAAAAATGTCATTAGCATGTTGATGAGGGAGGTTATGGCGGAAGCAGAGATGGCAAACCACAAGCAGATTAAACTTTAACATGAGTACAGGGGAACTTTAATACTCAGGTCATGCTCACTTGTCATAGAATGGATGCTGCTCCCCAAATTCCTTCAGATGCTTCTTCTGCTTCTTGGTCAATGTGCTGACATCCTCCTTCTGCTTCCTTCTCTTCCCCATCGTCAGCTCACACACACGTGAAATGCAGACTGCACTACATGTGTATTGTCGCCTACCGGTGACGTCACGTGTGAGGCCGGAGCGCAAAAGTCAGGAGCGCAGTCACCTGACCTGCGGCGTGACGTAATCTAGAAGCGCCACACTTACTCACTGTCACCATGGATGCCGGGGCGGCTGAGCGGCCTCATGTACTGGAGCGGCTTCAGCGCAGGGATGAGGAACGCCAGCGAGAGGTAGAGAAGAGGCGGCAGGTGAAGGAGGAGCAGGTCGTGCAGGAGGAGAAGAGCGGCTACTTTAGTGCCAGCTTCGGCCAGGAGCGGGCGGCCATAGAGGAGGCTCTGAGCGGGGAAGGAGGGATTGAGCTGCTGGAAGAGGTCGCCATGCGGATTCAGGGCCTACAGAAGCTGCTGAATGACAGTGTCATGTTTCTGCCTTCCTATGACACCCGGCAGGCCCAGGATCAGCTTGTCCGCTTGCAGAGCGCCCTGGACGCACGCCGCCTGGAGATCCAGCCCAAGAAGAAATTCGCCTTTAAGTCCCGTAAGAAGGAAGGTACAGCAGCGACCACCGACCAGTTGGCCACCCCAGGCCCGGCCAAAGAGATCCAAGTGCAGTCGCTGCCCCAATGCGGTTTCCAGGGTCTCACCGGCCAGGTGCTGTTTATGGACGCCCAGCAGATCCGCCAGAAGGATGTCCAACTGAGCCAACTCCGGGATTGCACTATCACCATGACCGGCAGCCCGGCCACCCTGCACCTGAGAGAGCTGAATGGGTGCCGACTGCTGTGCGGGCCTATCTCCACCTCCGTGTTCGTGGACAATTGCCACAACTGCCTCTTTTCCTTTCCCTGCCAGCAGCTGCGCACCCACAGCACCCGGGACAGCCGCTTCTACCTGCATGTCACCAGCCGCGCCATCATCGAGGACTGCATGAATCTGACGTTTGCTCCCTTCACCTGGAGCTATCCGGACATTCTTGCAGACTACGAGCTGGCTGGGCTGGACAGGGGCCGCAACAACTGGGACCAGGTGGATGACTTCAACTGGCTGGCTATGGGTGAAGAGTCTCCAAACTGGAGTGTGATCCCTGAGGAGGAGAGGGTCACCCACTGGAAATGAAGTCTGATATTATGCTGTGTTTACTGCTTTCCCAAAATTGAGCTTTACCCCTAAAAATTAAAGAATTCAAACAGGACCGCACTGGCTACTGATGAGGACTGCATGGATTTTTTGCTGGATTCCTTCATTTGGAACTTCTTTGGGGTTCTGCAGATCTTCTGATGGCTCTCATCACCTACAGCTTCCTTCACCAACTTCTGGGTGCCCCATTCACTGGCATTCCCAATGCCCCATTAAGCTGGTGTCTTGCCAGTCTTCTGTGGTCTCCCACCATGTGGAGCTACTCTGGGGTCTTGTAGATCTTCTATAGGCTCCCCGTACCTAGAACTACTCTGGAGTCTTGCAGATCTATGGGGCCCCCACCATCTGGACCTACTCTGGGGTCTTGCAGATCTTTCGAAGGGCTCCTCCCCATACCTGCAGGTACTTTGGAGTCCTGCAAATGTCTGGCAGCAAGGTCTGTCCAGATGGATCACCCAACCCTTGTGTCTCATTCCACAAAATGGTTATCGTACTCTTTCTCTCCGTGTGGTAAAGGCCTCAGACAAGTGGACTGGTGGATGACTTCAGCTAGTGGGCTATGAATGGACGGGATCGCATTGACCAATTATACCTAAGAACAATCATTCAATGGGAAACAAATCTTTACATCAACCTAATGCACAGGGGGCCTGAATTGTTACTCCATCAGTAGCAAACACTCTTCTAAAAATAACCAAGTGATTAATAATTACTTGTATAGGAAGATACCATTCAGGACTTGTCTGTGGCGTATATAGAACACCATCTGAGCTGTGATCCAATGGCCATCTGCCCACCTTAAAGAGACTCTGCTGCTAAACTTGAAGTGTAAATAAAAGTTTGCTGCAAAGAAGAAATTGGCTCTTTTCCTGCTGCCCACAGGAGTGACAGCCTTCTGTTCCCCTGCTGCACTCTTCTCCATGCCATCCCCTACATCGCTACTGCTTCCTGTAGGCGGGGCCGGTGTGAGGAACCACTAAGTGCAGCGGGGGACTAAGAGAGTGACACTATAGGAAGTGTCGGCTTCTGAAGGAAAGTTGAGCAATTTTTCTGCATTAAAGCGGAGTGGGCAGCAGGAGAGGTAAGCATTAACTTTTATCATTGCAGGGAACATATTTATTCAAACTTTCAGTGGCTTTAAATATGTCTAAAAAGAAATGCTGTCATTTGAACTGCCATTCATCATTTTGTTAAAGAAACTTTTTATAGTTTTTTTTTTTTTTTTTTTTACTTGGACATCTGATGTGTACACTCCAGCCACTTGTTCTCTGGGGATCCAGCAGCGAGCTCTTATACCCTGAGCTCTAGTTACAAAATCTAGAACTCTGTGGTGTTTACACAGAACCTAAAGCTGAACTCCAGGCAGATATAAAAATAGCAGTTGTGTCAATTAACAAAATAATTAAACTTATTTTTAAATGCAGCTCAAGCAAGTGCCCCAAAATGACTTCATATTGGCCTCCTGTAATTCCCTGTACATCAGCTTTCAGACTGGGAAAGGGAGAGACAGAGCTAGGTGTAGAGTGATGACCTTACCAGTGTGCCGCTCATTATTGATTGCCCAGTCAGCAGGTGAATGGTGAGGTATGATCAGTTACTTGACTAAGCTGTGCTGATTCTACACAACTAGTCGATGACCTGACTTGTTCTCTGGTTGCGGTGTCTGGGGAGTGGCTGAATAGAATTACATATTCTTTGGCAGGTAAAGGAGTTTACAAACATGTATTCAGCTGCTTGCCTAGAGTTCATCTATTTGGGCTTTCAAGGAGAACTATGAGGTGAGTGATTTTTCACTCACCTCATAGTTCTAGCCGACCTGTGACAATGAGACTGTCACAGGTCGGCTCAGTGGATCGGGAGGTGAGCGAACACATACAGCTTGTGGTATACTGAGCCTAGGGTGACGGGAGGACGCTAGTTTGTGTCCTCCCGTTACCCTAAGGAGAACTATGGGGAAAAGACTTAACCCCGTAGTTCTCCTTTAAAGGAATCCATGTAGATTAGAAACATGGAAGCTGTAATTGCAGACCTGATTAGTGCATGCTTCATCACTGTCCTCCTCAACCTTGCTTCTCTAATAAGTGAATCACTAACCTGGAACAGCGTGCAGGTTGGGAGCAGGACTTACACTTTTACAGTACAGGTGTATGTAAACCCTAACACTTTTTTTTTTATTTTGGTCTTTTGAATATACAACTGAAATAATTTTGCTGTCCAGTTATTGTGAAAAGAACCGGTTGATCCTGCCATTTCTGCTGCACTGAAATCTCAAGCAGTGTTATTAGCCTAGCCCATTTCATCTCTGTGGAATACAGAACACTTCCCCGTATGTTATGGAGAGGGGGAGGTGTTCTGAAGTCCTACTTGCTGTCCCAGGGTGATAATGCTGCTTCTCCATAGACTGCGCAGAGTGAGCGCTGTCGCCCTAGGACAGGAAGTGTTACTGGCAGGATTACTAAGTGAAAATAATGGAGGGGATAAAGAAAATGAATGCAGACCCTAAACCAAGAATTGTTAACCTACTGTATATTACATTGTTCTTGGGTCCAAATTTGCTGTAATGCAACATTGCAAGCTTCTGTATTTCTGTCCTTGCAGGTTCCCTTTTCATTTTATTAAAAAAAGAAAAAAATTGACTATTCCGTGTTAGATATTAAAGTAGATTTTTTTTTTTTGCACTGTTATTTATTACACAATCCTAACCGATAACCAATTGTTAAAGTAGTTTCACAAAAATACATGTTGCTTGAAATTTCCTCTGATAAACGCTTTTCTTTAATAAAATATTTACCGTTAAATCTTCAGTCTGCTTTATTAATGGGAGTCTGTTCTTTCTAATGGCCTGCATCCATCAATTTTTTTATTTACTTTTTTTCCTTTCAAGAAAGTTTCGCATTCCAATGCAAGTCTAAGGGAATACATAACACACATCAAGCAGATCACATGCAGGTCAAAAGGAGGCCAACTGCAGGTTAACACACCTCTCAATGACATTTGAATGGTCTCAATTTGTCATCTGCACAGATTTTAAATCTTTTAAGATATAAGTGTGATTGGTTTAACCTAAATAACCTTTTATGAAAGTCTTTCGTGAACAAGTCATTGAAGTCTAGATGCCCAGACCAAATTCACCAGCGCTGGCAAATTATTATACAGGATTTATATAGCGCCAATCATTTGCGCAGTGCTTTACAAAATGGAGGAGGCAGTACAGTTTCAGCACAATAGGGTTAGGAGGGCCCTGCTTGTGAGAGCTTACAATCTAGTAGGAGGTGCAAGTGATACAAAAGGTAATAATCTACAATTCTATTGGGTGAATTTGCTAATGGCAAATAGGCTGCTCACTCAATTTTCCCCTAGCTGAGTCAATGAAAAAGCTCTGCTGACTTCAGTCATGTGGAAGCAAAATTGCTGTTTTGGTTTTGATTAGGGCTGCAGCTAACGATTATTTTCATAATCGATTAGTTAGCCGATTATTAAGTTCGATTAATCGACTAATCGGATAAAAAAAACACAAAAAGGGCTCCAGTGATGGACTACTAGTAGATTTTTGTTTTCCTTGCATGATTGGGTAATCTTTGCAAATTCCATTTTCACCACATTCACAAGCTAAGTGAGAAGTCCCTTACCAAATGAACAGCCTATCTTCCTTTATTAACCCTTTCGCTGCCAAGGACGTATGGCATACGGACACACAGTCTTAAGCCCTGCTCTGTTTTTATTATAGGATGACAAATGCACAAGAAGGTAAATACACACACACACACCAGCCACCCAATAACCCTTTGACCACCCGCCAAATATTGAGTAGGTTCCCCTTTTGCTGCCAAAACAACTGACAGTTGAGGCATGGACTCCACTAGACCTCTGGAGGTATGCTGTGGTTTTTGGCACCAAACCGTCAGTAGCAGATCCTTTAAGTTGTGAGGTGAGGCCTCCACAGATTGGACTTGGTTTTCCAACACATCCAATGGAGATCTGGAGAATTTGGAAGCCAGGTCAACATCTCAAACTTGTGTTCCTCAAACAATTCTAGAACCATTTTTGCAGTGTGGCAGGGTGCATTATCCTGCTGAAAGATGAGGGAATACCGTATCCATGAAGGGGGACTATCATTTCAATACAAATTAATAAACTAAACATGAGATTGTATTCTATGACGGGAGTGAGCTTGGAGCAGTGGCTACTTTACAACACACATAGGGACCATGAGGAACAAAAGTAGTCACCCTCCAGAAGGAAGGACAGTGTCAGCACCAATTCAGAGATGATTTGATGATCTACAGCCGAGTGATACACAAATAAGTTACATTTGTGTTAATAGTTAAGATACTCTAATGCATTTTTAACTCCTGAGTTTAGTGTCACCAAGGACTATTATATTCAGCAATTGAAATTGTAACAAACGCTCCCATTGGTGTTCATTACAGGAAATAACACATGTATCATATCTTAACAGCTTGATCCTACATGTGTGCTATTTTTTTGATGATGTGGCGGCCAAGTTCATTTCAATAGAAGTGCCAAGTGAGAGTTCTTCATTCTAATTCTGGCAGCAGAGATGGTGAAATATTAGGTCAGGTAGGCGGATGTGGAAGTTGTCACTTATCTGTCTACCTGCTAATCACAAGCAGAATGTATACCAAGTCACAGGCTTACCGAGGTTAGCTTATGGGTGTCCTCAGCACTGGGTTTCTACAGGCTTAACCTCCAGTGTTTGCGTGCGATGCTCTGTGTCCTCCAGAATACCTCAGCCTCTTCCGTGTTACTTACGTCCGCACAACTATAGCTGTTGTATACAAATGCACGTGGTTTGTACCTAACTACAGAGCTATTATCTCATACCATCTTGGTTTTACGTAACGCATAAGTGACAAATTGCACCACGTTGTATTATATATGTTATTTGCGTTAAAGGGACTCTGACACAGAGAATTAAAGTGGAACGGAACATAAAAATTGAAGATTTATTATAGTGAACATCTAGAAGTGTTAAAGTGACACTAAACTCAGGAGATAAACCTAAAAAATACCT